GTCATGGTTGGGATTACTCGAAGTAAAGTATTTTTTTGGCTACTGATGCCACATCGATCTGCATTGCTCTTCCAATTTTGCAGTTTTTTCCTCATCTGCCAGGTGAGGGTTGTTGGATTTTATCACAGCTGTTCCGACTCCTCCTCCTTCTTCTTCTCCTCCTCGTCCTCCTTCTCCTACACCACCTCTGCCTCCACTTCCACGTCCACTTCTGCCTTGCCAACTCGTCGCTCTTCGTCAACTTCTGCGCGCAGTGGGCACTGCTGGACCTCAACTGCCGGCTTCCGATCTGAGTGGGCACGGCTGGACCTCAACCGCAAGGTTCTGAGCGCAGTGGGCACCACTGGACCTCAACCAGGGACCTTCCGAGCCCAGTGGGCACTGCTGAACCTCAACCTGGGACCTTCCGAGCTCAGTGAGCACCGCTGGACTTCAGCGGCCAGATGGAATGCCAGAATATATGCCAGAAAGACTGCCAGAATATATGCTACATGGAATGCCACATAGAATGCCAAAATATATGCGAGAAAGAATGCCACATGCCACATAGAATGCCAGAATATATGCCAGATAGAACGCCAAAATATATACCAGATAAAATGCTGGAAGATATGCCCGGTAGAATATCAGAATAGATGTCAGATAGAATGTTAGGTAAAATGTCAAAATATATGTCAGAATATATGACTTGAAATGCTGGGGATCACTCGAAGTAAAGTAATTTTAGAATCCAATCGCCTGCAGTCTTCCAACCCCAACAAGCACTTAGTACATCGCTTCTCTTATCTTGAGATTGAATATCACAGCATTAGATTTTTTCAAAATTCTCATAGCGAGTCAGATATGCAAAACACAATCTCCATATGATGTGATTGTGTCGTTGGAAATCATGCCTATTGCACCCAATAGAATCTCATTTTCCGTTGACACCAGGTTCAAAAAATCCGTTCATGCGCTGATTGCCAATGCAGAGGTGGTTTTACTGGGGCCACGTATGAAGCTTGCTCCCCGAACTCTGCCCTGGCCATAGCAAATCGGATCCGAGAAAGATTAGATGCACAGTCAGCAAACCAGAAGTCGAGAGAAAAGCATCTTGCCTCAACGAACCCAACGTCCCCAGAGACCGAGAGACTAGTCTTTAGCCCACGCCCCTCGCCTCCACGTGCCAGCGGCTCCTCGGGAGACCTTGGACCACAGAAGTCTGAGGCGAAGGTGCATGCCCAATCTGAGGAAGAGGAGCCCTCAGTTTCCGAGAAACCGAAGGTGACACCAAACCGTTCAAACCCCCTGAAGCGACCCAGCAGTCGTGGGCGGGGGCGATGGCGGGGTCGGGGAAAAGCACATGGCAAGCGCCAGGATGATGATGACCTGGACTTTGACGAGAAACTTCACCCGAGAAACCTGCACCAGCTTCAAAGACCAAGAACACCAAAAGTGATGCTGACATGGGGCCCTCTGCTCCATCGGAAAAGTTGCCTGGGATGAAGAAAACTTGCAAGTGTCAGACATGAGGTGCCCAGCAAGGCATCTAAAGCAGAGGCTAAGGAGAAGGGAGCCAAGAAAAAGGGAACGGCGACAGTGATTTGGGAGAAGAAAGCCAAAGATGGTTGGAAGGTTGGGGGCGTCAGAAACTGTAGCCTGTCAAGCCTGTACTTTGTATTCATTGTTTGTTTTCACTGACTATAAATCGGTTTCTCTCCTCCAAAACTGGTTTTTGGGCCGACCAAGACTCCAAAATTATGATTTTTGGTGACAAAACCACCTACTTGTCAACAGTCCTTTGTCCCGGGTAGGTTGTGAAGAAAGCCAAAAGCACCAATGGTGGTGAGTATTACGAGTACATCTGCCCTGACCCAGCAATTGGCAAGCTCTACTCCAAAACGAAAGCTGAGGAACATGGATATGCCGGGATGAACAAGTAGGCAGCTGTCTAGTTAGAGGTTCCCTGGTTTACACATAGCCCTGATGCACATCCATCCGGTGAGCGGAAAACTAAGCTTCTGGCAGCAGCTGCTGCGATGGTGGTGTCAGCAGCGAGGTGTTGAGCGGTGTCCGGGGTAAGCTGTTGGGATATGGGTATTGGTTCCCAGAAATTTCTACTATTGGTCTTCCACCTCATTGTGTTTGAATTATCAAGTTTGGTGATGCCAGGAAAAATATTGTATTATCTTCGTAAACTTGTGACCAAGTGCCAGCGACCAGCGGCAAAGTGCCAGCAACAACTAAGATTGACAGAAGTTCCTTTACAAAACTTGCACAAAGCACTGCCCAGTACTACTTTGTACCACGATGCTTGCACACAGCACGTTCCAGTACTACTACTTGTACTACAAAGCTTGCACAAAGCACTTCCCAGTACTACTTTGTACTACAGACCTTGCACAAAGTACGTCCCAGTATTTACTACTTTGTACTACAAAGCTTGCACAAAGAAAGCTCTTACACACAGCAAGTTCTTTCGCAGAGAAGCTTTTACACACATCAAGCTTTTTAAACAGAGAAGCTTTTACATACAGAAGCTTTTACACACAACAAGCTTTTACACAGAGAAACTTTTACACACAGCAAGCTTTTACACACAGCAAGCGTTTACACACAGAACACTTTTACACAGAGTGCTTTTACACATGGCAAGCGTTTACGCACGCATAAGCTTTTACACAGAGAAGCTTTTACACACAGAGAAGCTTTTACACACAGCAAGCTTTTGCACACAAAATCTTTTGCACACAAAATCTTTTACACACAGCAAGCTTTTACAGAAAAAAGTTTTTACACAGAGAAGCTTTCTTGTACATAATCACAACAGGAAATGCAGCTGCAAAGCCGGATCTCGGCACCAAAGCAAACAAAACGCCATTGAAGCACTTTTTAAAAGGACTTTTAAAGGAAAATTGCTAACGCCAAAATTGAGAAAATTCACTGACAAATCACTGTCGCAGCCTTGATGCAGCCATTCCAATACTATTTACGATCTCGAGCTGAAAAAAATGTAGTATTACGCATGCAGCGGCGGCACCAAGCAACCTTGATGCAGCCACTACAACGCGACCTGCAGACACTGAATTGCAAAACACACAATAGAACTACGGGCAACGGCGTCGGAAATTGCAGCTGCAAAACCGGATGGATCTCGACGCCAAAGCGAAAAAAGACCATTTTGAAGCACCTTTTACAAGGACTTTTTTAACGAAAATTGCTAGCGCCAAAATTGAGAACATCTTCTGACGAATCACCGTTGCAGCCTTGATGCAGCCACTCCAATACAATTTACGATGTCCAGCTGCAAAAGAGAAAAGTCTTACGCATGCAGCCGCGGTGCCCAGCAACCTTGACGCAGCCATTACAATGCATTTTGCAGCATGACGTGGCTAACACGAATGTATCTACGCACATGGCAGCACCAGATGACAACAATCATGCAGCCATTCCAATGCGATCTGCAACATTCCGCAACCACAGATTCAAGAGATGCATAGAACTACGCACACGGCAACAACCACTCCTTGCAGAACACAGGGGAGGAACCAATTCGCGGATGAAACGACCCCAGCCGCACCCGCCGCACACAGGAGGTACCGTTCATCGACGGCTGCAACCACTTTACACGGAAAGACACAGGGTTTCGTGCTCCGGCTTCCTCCCCAACACAAGCCCCATGCAACGTTCATGCAGCCATCACAATGCATTTTGCGGCATGACGTGGCTAACCCGCATGTATCTATGCACATGGCAACACCAGATGACAACAATCATGCAGCCATTCCAATGCAATCTGCAACCACAGATTCAAGAGATGCATAGAACTACGCACACGGCAACAACCACTCGTTGCAGAACATAGAGGAGGAACCAATTCGCGGATGAAACGACCCCAGCCGCACCCGCCGCACACAGGAGGTACCTTTCATCGCCGGCTGCAACCACTTTAGACGGAAAAACGCACGGTTTCGTGCTCCGGCTTCCTCCCCAACACACGCCCCATGCAAAGTTCATGCAGCCATCACAATGCGTTCTGCGGCATGACGTGGTCCCACGCAACATCACTTTCCTTTGTCACCACTTCCCACAGTCACCACTTCCCAAAGCCACCATTTCCCTAGCTAGGTCAACACTTCCCTTAATCGCCACTTCCGAAAATCACCATACTCCCTTCGTCGCCACTTCCCTTCGTCAAAACTTCCCTTAGTCACCACTTCCCAAAGTCACCGCACAGCCTTCATCACCACTTCCCTTTGTCACCACTTCCCTTCCTCACCACTTCCCTTCGTCACCACTTCCCTTAGTCACCACTTCCCTTCCTCACCATTTCCCTTCGTCACCACTTCCCTTAGTCACCACTTCCCAAAGTCACCACACTCCCTTCGTCACCACTTCCCATTGTCACCACTTCCTTCCTCACCACTTCCCTTCGTCACCACTTCCCTTAGTCACCACTTCCCAAAGTCTCCGCACTCCCTTCGTCACCACTTCCCATCGTCACCACTTCCCTTCCTGACCACTTCCCTTCGTCACCACTTCCCACATCGTCACCACTTCCCTTCGTCACCACTTCCCTTCCTCACCACTTCCCTTCGCCACCATTTCCCTAGGTCACGACTGCCCTTCGTCACCACCCTGCGTCATATCCTTTTATTCTTTTGTGATGTATTGTTATGTGATGTCAAGTCTCACACCGCCCTTCAGCAATGTCAAGTCTCACAGTTCTATTTGTCCGTAACTCGGAAGATTGCTTCCCAACTTCCTTTGATCAACTCCTCCTTAACTTCTGTTCCTGTTGTTTTCCTAGCTGGCTTCTAGTGTGTGGCCGGGTGGCCATCTCAGCTTTCAGTCATGTTTCATGCAAAGCTGATTGAGTCAGGGCATCACTATAGTCACTATGTCGTGGCTCAGCTTTCATGGCTGCCATAGCTCCTGAGGGCCCAAGGTCTTGCCAAGGAGCGTCCCCGGGCGGGAACAGAACGTCCGTAGCTGTCCCAACGAAGCTGGCGAGCGTAGTTATGGTCCTTTGGCTGCTGCCATGGCGAAGGAATGCAAATCAATTCCCTCTCTATTCCTAGTCATTTCCAGTCCATGCCTGGTTTTGTTGAAGCGACAGCTCAAATCAACGCCTCCACAAATTCTATGGTTTTTGTGCTGCTTGCATTCTCATTCTCTCATTTTAGTTGTAGGGCATATTGTTCATCATTGTTTTTGTGTTTGAAGAGACGAAGGACAGCAGGAAACAAGCCAGTCACCAGTGCAAAGAAATCAACGAATAACCTTCGGACTGCAAGACTAGAAATGAGCTGAGACAGAGGGTCACGCCTCGTGAAAAAGTTCAGATGTCTTACTTCACTCTTTCTCTTTTTTTCCCAACAGCATGAAGCTGGAAGGCAGAAACAATCCAAGTATGTCAATAGCAATAGTCCAATGAAACGGTCCAACTCAGGCACGCATGACCTTGGCTCTGCTTGTGTCACTTGGCGAAAAAGAGTTGGAACACACATCTGATTGATTGCATGCAAATCACTGCTTGCATTATATATATATGTCCTTTCGCCCCACAGTATGTTTTGTTTGTAGCGCTGGCTTAAGGGTTAGGTAACGTGGGGGCACCTCCCTGTTTGCCAGTGCCCGATTTGTTCTTGCCTGTCCCGCCTTTTTTCTTTGATCCGGATTGGCGGTGTGCATCCCAGCTTCGTTCCCTGGGTGAGCGAGCGCCTCCAAGTCCTTGAAGCCGAGCGCACGGACGAATTGCAACGATTGGGGCCGCCCCCTCAGATCGTTGACCAGGCCGGGCAGCGCCTGAAACTTGCGTAGGGGAGCAGACCGGGTTAGCCACAGCCCCTGCTCCCAGGGGACCTACAGGCCATCCGGAGGACTTGCAGAACACTCCAAAGGTAAAGCCACCAACACCTCCCAATCAACTTGCCACTAAAGGGGAGGGAGCTGCAACATCAGTAAAAGAAGAGCCACCGGTCAGCCCAAAGGGAAGCCACAAAGGAGTCGTCGAGGTTTCAGACATTGCCAGAGAAGAAAGCCGCAGCGAAGAAGGAGAAGAAGAGGAGGATGGAGGAGCGGCCAGGAGATGAAGGGAGGTTGAGAGAGCCTCCCAGTGGCCGAAGAGGTGAACAAGTGGCTGTGCAGAAGTCGCTCTTCGAGGTTTTTGGGAGCACAGGCTTGGATCCTGATCCTGAACGAAGAGCGAAGATTCTCAAGAGAGCAAAGCGGGTTAGCAGGAGAAAAAAAAGAAGAAAAAGAAGAAGAAAAAGAAGAAAGAAGAAGAAGAAGAAGAAGAAAGGAAGCCCAAGTGGGCGTAAAAGTAGCTCTACATTCGTCTTCCAGCTCTTCAAGTTCAAAGATTGAAGGAGGAACAGGTTTGTTCAATGAGGAAGACAAGCTGCAGAGGATATGGAAAAGATATCCGGGTGCTCTGACGGCAGGTGTGCTCCGTGAGGCACGACAAGGATTAATGAATCAAGCCGGGACATTGTGGAAGATCAACCAGGCGGAGCTTAGGAGCTTCCACCACTGTTTACACAGTATTGTAGACAGCAGATCCTGGGGCCACTGACGGTGTCTCCGGCCCTCACAGCCGCCAACTCGAGCTGATCCACAGCGAGCAATTTGCAGTGAAGCGCTCAATGCTACCCGCCAGGCCAAGGAGGAAGAGAAACTAAAGAGCTTCATGAACAAAGGAGGAGGAGGAGCAAAAGGTGGTGGCAGCTATGATGCAGGAAAAGGTCGCAAAGGAAAAGAAGGGAAGTCCACAGGAAAGGGCCGTGCCGAGGAGGGAGGACCTGGAAAAGGCGGAGAAGGTGGTAGAAGAGATGATGGTAGAGGACAAGCAAACAAGTAGAGAAGTAGGGTAGGAGCACCTCCCAGGTATTGGCGCAATAAGTGGACAAAAGAGAGCTATGACAAAGGACAGAAGATGGCGGACTTAGGTGGCCACTCGGGCAATGTGGCTGAAGATGTGGCAGCAGTGGCGAAAAGTACCACCCTTGGAAGAAATTGATGAGTTGATTTCCCAGGCTTCCAGCCATGCGGCTGCGTTACAGGGGAGTTGTTCCGAGCCATCCCGGAATGACTCCCAGATGGTGCATGATAACTTGATAGATCAGGATCAAAGGAGCCGAGGTAGTAAAGAGTCCCGCTCCCAAATCCGCATCAACCTTGCGAAAGCCGAGGTGGAGAAGTTTTTCGGCACAGAGGGCTTAGAGTGTACGCTAGCAGAGCTGGGTGGCCTCTTGCTGGACATTCTAATGAGTTTAGATGAACATTGTGGTTGCAAACCTGACATGGCGAGCTACTTTCGAAGGTTTGGCGCACATAGTGCCCTATTCTCCGTCAATCCATGCTCCTTGAACTTCGGCTCCAATGGCTTGCTCCACGGTCTTCTTGGGGTGTGTTGGGAGGCCTAGGCTTGCATAGGTCTCCCTTAGATGTTGGACGGAGTCCGAGACTTGCCCGCTAATCAGCGCATAGGTCTTGCGGTCCGCTTTGCGAAGCTTGTCAAAATTGTCTGAATAAACTCTACAAAGTTCAGACTGGTGACTAAAGCCTCTATCCCACCGCAACTCGCGCTCAGGACCCCAGGGGGTTTGTAAACTACCCACCCCCCCGGACTACGGAGTTTAAAGATCACATGGGTAAAAACGTCCACAAAAAACCCAATCCGAATCTTCACCCCCTGATGGCACCAGACTCTTTGGCAGCAAGCGACCAAAGCCCAAATACTTGTACCAGGCCTCAGGGACCGAGAACAGGTAGAAATAGCAGCGCAGGTCCTCAGAAGACACTGTCAAAAGCTCCCCGTCATGCGAAAACAAGGCGGCTAAATGGGTCACCATAGGGAGCGTGCATGTGTCAGCTTCGAGTGGTCGGGTGAAGGCATTTAAACCGGCAAAGCTCCACCTACCCTACAAGCTCATCTTTGGATACCGAAAAAAGCTCATTAATCAAAGCCATCGAACCCACATGATGCAGATGTGTGATTCCAGCAGGAACACTAATACCACGATCAAGAATGACCTTTGGCAACAGTAGGCCATTCATCATCATCAACAAAGACCCTTGGGGGTTTGCCAATTGCTTGGTCATCTTTCGGCCACAAAAATCCTCAAAGTGGTTGATGTCGTGCAGAGCCTCTGAAGCACAGAAATCCCTAATATCCAGAGTGCCAACTTGCGTTGGAAGAGACGCTTCAATGCTTTCCCAGACCAATTTTTCTTGCAACTCGAACTTCTTCGCCCTGATCATCAACCCCTTTTGAAGAAAAAACCCTGGGCAAAGTTGATAGAAGGAAGGGGCTCCTTCAAAAACGCAGACAACTCCAAGATACCCCGCAGCCTTTTCATCACTCGTAGTGACGATGGGCTCCCCTGTACAGCGCAGGGCATGCCATGCATGCTGTTGAGGCTAGCTGCTAACAGCTGGGGAAACGACTCTTTTGGGTTAAAAGCGCCAGGACATCTTGAAACAGGTAAGGGGGAAATAGATTTCCCACCTGTAGTGGACCTTGGTCGGCACTGGAAGAGGTGAGGCTTGGGATGGCCAGTCAGAAGGAATTGCAAGTCTGGTGTATTTGGCAATGTTGAAAAGACCGCCTGGGGGGCCCTCAGCCACATTTGGCGGGCGATCACTGATGTCGAAGGCATCCCAAGGAGTCAACGTTTTCAGGTACCACGGGAGGTCCTGGCGGAGTTAGTAAGATTTGTTGGGTTGGCCCCCTTCGCCTTTACTAATTTCCGGTCGGATTTTGATGAGAAGGTCACAGTGAGCGATGCTTCAACTTTCGGTGGGGCTTTTGTGTCTCGAGGGGCTTGGCCCCGTATGGACTGACCGCATCGGTTAGTGCTGTTCGAGGAGACATTCCGGAGCATGATGATATCTGCCAAGTGCTGTTGATTGGCTTGTTTGACGGAATAGCCGCCCTCAGGGTTGCTCTTGATATTTTGCATACCCCAATTTCAGGACATGTTCAGTTGAGGCAAATGCTCAAGTAGCAATTTTCCAGGTTCGATTCTGGTAGATGATGTGGAGAAGGTCAACGAGGCGGTGGTCACCGATTGGAGCCTGAGATTCAGCAGCGTGGGTTTGGTGATCATTGGAGCTGGACCGCCGTGTCAAGGAGTTTCAGGGCTCAATGCAGATGGTCGAGGCGCCCTTCGAGATGCCAGGAGTAGCTTGTTCCAACATGTGCCTTGAGGGGTGCAAGTATCCAAGGCTAAGTTTCCGTGGGCTCAGGCGCGTTGTTAGCAGAGAATGCGGCCTCTATGGATTATCAGGACTGCACAGCCATGAATGCCGGGGCTATGAGTTGGAGCCTGGTTTATTGACTGCGCGGGGATGTCCATTTGCCACAGGCCACGCTTGCACTCTGCACTAAGAGCTGCGACATGGAGAAGGGGTGGCCATTTTGTCAGGAGGTGACGGAAGATTGCCTATCCAAGGAGAGGTTCGCTTTCCACCGTACCAATACAAGGATAAGCAGTGCGTGCATGAACAGGGGACACTTCGGCCTTTCAACATTGCTGGGCGCGAGGTGATCTTGGGATTCCGGCTGGACTATACTGTGCAATGTATGCCAAAGTCGGAGCATGGAAGTGTGGCGCGCCAGGATTGCCGACGCATGTGGGGGTCATAGCTTGGCTGTTAAAGGAATTGCTGGAAGCCTCGGGGCTGATTGAGCCCGTCACTCTTCAGGAGCTGTGTGATCGTTTGGTGCCTGGAGGTAGTGGGAGTCTTCAGACCGTGCTGCAGCGACCGCATATGGGGCATAGCACTGCCACCTGGCCTCACAGTTGAACCCTTGTGCGAAAGTTGGCAGGGGTAGCTCCACTGAAAGGGGAGGACATTCTGTTGCAAGCTTCGACTGAGGCTCCTCTACGTTATCATCGCCTTCGAATGAGCATCCCGGCCAAATTATGGCGGAGGATTATTTCAGGTTGGAAATGGACAGGTGCAGCAGAGCACATCAATGTGCTTGAAGCTCGTGCTACCTTCACTACTCTATGTTGGCGGGCAGAACACTTGAAACAGGTGGATCAGAGATGCGTGCATCTGGTTGATAGCATTGTTGTGCTGCACTACCTTATTCGTGGGCGTTCATCATCAAGGAAGATGAGAAGAACAGTGATGCGGATTGGGTCTCTTCTTTTGGCTACGGGCATCCAACGCCTTTGGGGTTATGTATCCACTCACCAGAACCCAGCAGACAAGCCGTCTTGCTGGGCTGTGAAGAAAAATGGTTAAAGCGAAGGAAGCTCGTGAATATGGGTGTCTAGTCAAAAGAAGAGAGACAGAAAGTCCGCAAAATTCTAGGTAGCTTGAAGCAACTCACCGTCCAACCCAAAACCCGGGAACGTTATATGGCAGGAATGCAAGCCTTCTTCCAGTACCTCGGCCGGGAAAGTTTAACCCCCCCAACCAAACGAGACCATATGGATGCTTTGGTGAGCGACTACTTGGAACATCTCTGGAGTGAAGGAGAGGGGACAGCCACGGCCAGCAATTTGTTGGCTGCGCTTCAGGACTCCCAAGCGAAGCTCAAGGGAGCTGTTCCTGGTGCATGGCGCCTGATGAAGACATGGAGCATCAATGAAGTGCCGCAAAGAGCTCCACCGCTTAGTGAGGGAGTGCTGAACGCTATGATTGGTTGGTCCATCATGCATGAGCATTATTCAATATTCTTTTGCGTTAAGTCTGTTAGTAGCTTTTCATGGTCTATTACGCACTGGGGAATTGTTGGGGCCACAGGCTTGGCAAATTCACACCACAGGAGCTGTTTGCACGGCAGTCATTAGTTTAGGATTGACAAAGAGTGGTAAACGCCAAGGCGCCGCCGAGAGTGTTGCAATATCAGAACGCTCTGTGTTGCAGTTGCTCTGGCTTCGGAAAACCTTCACTTGGACCATATGAATTTTGAACTTCCAAACCACACCAGTGGCGCTCCTTGTATTCTGACTGTCTTTCCTCACTGAAATTGGACCAGTGGGGATTCCGCCCTTATTCCCTAGTCCAGGTGGGGCAACTTTTCTTTTTACCAAGTGTGGTTCTTTAGACCGGGTTCTACTAGCAGGGAGGTGGGCCGCTGTCAAGACAGCAAAAATTATTTGAATTCCGGCCTTGCTGTGCTTACAGATTTGCAAATCACACGTACTCATTTAGCCCCGTTTCACTCCACTTCTCGTAAATGGCTATCTTCTTTGCCATCGCTTGAGCACACTCCCTTTGGTCGTAAGTCAGGGGCACGTGGAAAGAAGACTTTTTCAAAGCGGAAAGCTCAAACAAACATGGGGGGGGGCGCAGCTATGTTTTTGTTCTGTTCCGTTTTTTTTGTCACAGGATCCTTGTGTGTCTAGAGCTTAGGGGGTTCCCCGGGGTGGCGGGGGCCCTAAGGGACACGGGAGGCGTGCTTCATCCTGGGTGTGGCCGGATGGAGTTCGCTGCGCCCTTAATGGTAAGGTTGCAATTTTGGCATCCTTAGGAGGGTTTCCGTTCTTTTCAATTTGAGAAATTTGGTCTGCAACGCGACAAAAAGTGAGTGAATTTAGTGTTTTATATATATATATATATATGCATTTAGATGATGTCCCTGCGCGGACACAAACAAACGCATAGTCTAGGCTAGCCAATTTCTCCTTGCATATATAATCCACACACCCTGGGCAACGTATTGAAAGGAACATCCGGAGCTTGGCTTTGCCAAAGTGGGGAGTGTGAAACATGATGTAAGGCTGGGCACATTGCTGGTGGATGCGCGATTGACGAAGCCTCGCGGTTTGGACGATAAGGACATCGACAGTGAGCCGACGATGTTGGCAAAGAGTCTTTTTCCCCACCTGCCAGGTGAGGGTTGTTAGATTTTATCAGAGCTGTTGTCCTCCTCCTTCTCCTCCTCCTCCGCCTCCTCCAGTTTCTCCTCGACCATGTCTGCATCAACTTCCACCTCCACTTCCGCCTTGCCAACTCTTCGCCAAGCCCTTCGCCAACTTCCGAGCTCAGTGCGCACTGCTGGACCTCAACCTGGGACCTTCCCAGCTCAGTGCGCACTGCTGAACCTCAACCTGGCACCTTCCCAGCTCAGCTCACTGCGCACCGCTGGACCTCAACCTGGGACCTTCCCAGCTCAGTGCGCACCGCTGGACCTCAACGGCCAGATAGAATGCCAGAAGATATGCCAGATAGAATGTCAGATAGAATGCCAGATGATAAAATGCCAGAAGATATGCCAGATAGAGTGCCAGAAGATATGCCAGATAGAATGTTAGAAGATATGCCAGATAGAATGCCAGAAGGTATGCCAGATAGAATGCCAGATAAAATGTCAGAAAGAATGCCCGAAGATATGCCAGATAAAGTGCCAGAATGTTTGCCAGATAGAATGCCAGAAGATTTGCCAGATAATATGCCAGAAGATATGCCAGATAGAATGCTAGATGGAATTCCAGAAGATATGCCAGAACATATGCCAGAAGATATGCCAGGTAGAATGCCAGAAGATATGCCAGATA